GCAGGGAAGGCCGTCTGTTTCGCCGCTGCATGGTGTCAACATGATGACTTGGACACATAGGATTCTCCCTTGGCCATGAAGACGCGACTCACAGTGCGAAACACCAGCAGGTTACGATCAGGTCTCCAAGTTGACATGGTCAAATACATTCAAATACTATAATATAACATAATATAACATAACATAATATAATATAAATATATATATATATGTATAAATCCGTGCTTCTCATTTTTCCTCTCAAGCTCTTCTGAGTTCAAAGAATCCATCTTCCACATCTCCATCTCACGCCCCGTGACCAATTCTTTCTACGAACACCGAGCAGATCACGTCTTCTGCCACGGGCGCCGCCCGGCACCGGCGCGGCTCGGGCGCCGAAAATTTCACCGCGGCGGCCGAGAACACGCGACAGGCAGGTGGCTCCGTGCCGAAAGGACGTGCACGGGTGTGTTGGGTGTGAGGTTCGACGAGAGAGAGAGAGAGAGAGAGAGATCATGAAAACAACCCATTTGGGTTGTTTTTTTCTCCTGAAGATATCTGAAGGGCACTTTCTGCGTGAATCAGAATCTTTTGTTGGTCCTGCTGGAGGTGGAAGCCTCTTGGGTCCTCGTGTCAAGCCGTGTCGCTCGTCTCCAGATGCGCTCCACCCACGATGCCAACTGGCAGCAGCCTCGAAGACTTGCAGTTCACGCTGCACCCAAACACCTAGAGAAGCAAGATGAACCAAGGAAATGGTCCCTGTCTCTGTGTCTCGATCTTTTTATCCTACTTCCTTTCTAAGTCATATAGAAACCATTTTGCAAGAGAATGGAGGGTGGCGTAATCAGTGGCGATGTCTCCCTGGGACATTCCGAACACCCTCCCCCTACCTGGTTGCCAACCAACGGCCAGGCCAGGCCAGATGGGTGTTTGAACCCAGAAAAACCATCAACATTCACCACCTCATGACTCATGACACTGAAATCCACACATGTCGCCCCTTTCTCGCTTCCGCGCCACAGGGGAAGCGAGCTCGGCTCCGCGAGCCGAAGGCCTCGAAATCCTTGGCGCTCCGGTGGGGTGGAAGCGAGTCGACACGTGGTGATCGAAGCGGGTTTGGAAATGAGGTGATCCCCCTGACTCACCAACATGGAAGTGGAAAACCACCTGATTTTACAGGGGCCTATTGTCATCTATTGTCCACTTCCCATATTAGTAAGTCAAAAGATAAGTATATAGATTGATAGATCCTTCAACATCCATTCCCTCATTTCCTACAAAACTCCAATCAAATGAACATGCGGAGCACAGGTCGGCCCCGGTGAAAGAACGCGGTGCCTTAAGTAAATCCTCCGGTGATGAAGTCGCCCTGACCGGAGCAAGATGAGATGTGTTAGTCTCAACTAGACTAGGGTGTTCCAATCGTCCAGGGCCCCTAAGACTAGGGGCGAACGTCCAAGCCCCGACTCCTGCCCGAAGACTTGTTTTTGGTAATATTTTTCGCCTGGGAGTCAAAGACTCAAAGACAAAAATAATGGTCTGACTAGGTGACCCGAAAAAGACATTCCTTTACTTCAGTCGGTCCAAACAGAGTCTTTGGACTTCTAGGGTATATATATATATATACACATAAATATTCAGAGATAAACTACACCCAGGCGTTCGAAATTGACCGAATGGCTTCGTCGCAGCCATTCTGGCTGAAAATGCCGAGTTGCGAATCCAAAGATGGAGAATGCTGAGCCGCAAACGAGCTCAGAGCTCTCACCGGCCAAGCCGAAATGCGTGGAGGTGGATGTGGTGGATGTGGTAGGAGACAAGGAGGTGGATGTCGCCAATAAGGGCTCCGAGGAGTGCGACAATGTGAATGCGAAGACGCCAGACACCAAGAGCCGCAGCCGGGTCCCCCGGCCGTACTTGGAGATCGACACCGAGGAGGATGAGTTGAACTCGCCGGAGTACTTCGAAAGGCGTATTTCGCTGGATGTGACGCCATTGTCGTGTAAATCCACCGGCAGCTCTGCCGAATATCATCAGCCCAACCAGACCATCATCATCTTCGATTGGGATGACACGATCTGTCCCTCGACCACATGCATGCGCCAGCATGGGCTCTCTGTGCTTGGCCCTCGGCCCAGCGTCGAGCTTGCCTCGCGCCTGGAAGTCTTGGCGAATGAGGCGCGGCACGTGATCGACGTGGCTGCGAGCTTGGCCGACAAGGTAGTGGTGGTCACCAATGCCGAGGAAGGTTGGGTGGAAATGAGTTGCAGGGCATGGCTACCCAGCCTGCTGGAGACCGTGTCCAAGTGTGAGGTGGCTTCTGCACGGTCGCAGTTCGAGCCCACTGGTGTCACGTCACCTGCTGGATGGAAGGCTCGTTGCTTCGAAGAGGTCATCGAAGGCTTCTACCAGCGATACCCCAACCAGTCGTGGAAGAACATCATCAGCATCGGCGACGCTCCGCATGAGCGGGAGGCCTTGGCGCGCGTCGTCCGCATGGCGCCGATCTTCAGAGGGAAGCGCTGCCGGGCGAAGAGCGTGAAGTTCGTGCTGCGGCCCACGATCGAGCAGCTGGTGCGGGAGCTTCACCTGCTCCGTGAGAGCCTCCGTGAGATCGTGGTGCACGATGATGACCTAGATATGCACTTTTGTACCGAGACCTTTGCAGATACCCTGAGCTGAGTGCCGTGTGAAAATCACACCCCCGTCGTGCGCCCAGCCAATCCCAAAGAGGTCGCGATAGATCCCGGAAGGGTTTGATCGGACACGCGATGTCCAAAAAGCTGCGTGGTGGGAAGGATGGTTCTGGGAGTGTCTCTACTGGAGGTCCTGCTAGGTCGCTACGAGGTTGTTTCCCTAGTCAAAGACTATCAAAAAGAATGGTCGTTACTAGGTGGCCCGAGTTCAGGACATTCCTCTGCTTCAGTCGGTCCAAATAAAGTCAAACCGCATCAAACCGCTAGGTTACATAATTGTATGATATGATATATAATATTATATCTATCTATCTATCTAATCTAATCTAATCTAATCTAATCTAATCTTATCTTATCTTATCTTATCTTATCTTATCTTATCATATCTATCTATCTATCTATCTATCCATCCATCCATCCATCCATCCATCCATCCATCCATCCATCCATCCATCCATCCATCCATCCATCCATCCATATATATATATTGTTACATTTGTATATATATATATATATGTATCATATACTGTACACACATATTCTGAGATGAACTGAACCCAAGCGTTTCAAGTTGACCGTTTGGTTTGCCACCAAACAGAGGTTTCATTGATGCTTATGGACCAGGTGCACGACCGTTCCGCCAGGCCGTGCTGGCGAGGCCCTTCCGATGAAGGCAGGAAGCAAGCGGTGTTCCCGGTGGGCACTCCAGGTTCTTTTTTTTGGCCGACCCTGATGTGGAGTGATGTTGTCTGTTCCGAACATCCGAACGCCAGTTCCGGGAGGCTCTCCAGAATCGTTCTATCAGCTTTCCATATTACGGGAACCGCGTGGACATGTTCGAGTAGTGCTCGGTCGGTCGATGGGTCGGAGCGACCGACGCGGAGCATCGAAACGTCGAGACCCGAGCAACCGACGTGCGCGTGGCGTTTGGAGGCTCCGTTCAGGGCGATGTTTCCACGGGTGGAGACCGAGCGCCAAACTGCTGAAGCATGAGCTTGCCAAGCTCTGATTGTGCTGAGAATTCATGATCATTTGACTTGCCGCACTTGAATTTTGTTGGGAGCACAATGCTGGAGACGCAGAAAGATGCGCTGCAAGCATTCAGAAACTGGAGGAGGGCCCTTCATCTACAGAGTTCTATGTCGACCTGAGAAGCTTGGATAGGGCACCTGAGGCAAGAAGCTGCTATATAGTAACAAAGGGCATCGCTACTAGGAGCAAGGACGCTACTAGTAGCCAGGACGCTACTAGGTGGAGGCCATCGCTATTAGGTTGGAAGCAAAGCAGTTTGGCTTCCTCGTAGAAGAGAAGGGGTCTGACCACGTTGCCCCTGCTTTGGGCAGATTTGCGAAGATCGGCTGCAGTGAAAAGGATGCCGGTTGCCAGGAGATGCCAGGATATATCCCCCCAGCAAGAACAAGCTCTGGAAACTGCAGAGCTTCTAAATTTACCACACCATCCCAAGCCCTCTTTGTAGCACCCACATATAGATCCAAAGGCAGTTCTATAATCGCATCACTCTCCAGTTTCCGTAAGTGAGTGAGACAGAGAGTCTTTCTCCAAGAATTCTAAGATTGAGAGGGCGACCAGACTATCCTGGCCGTTGCGGATCTACCCTCACCCCGAAAAGAAACAGAACCGGGGACCAGTATATATGTACCAGTTCACAGAAACCACTGTAAAAGAAAGAACACAACCAACGGGCTCTTGAACAGGGGACCACCGAAATCCGGGCGGTCTTACCTAGCACTTCCTGTCTGGGTGCCCTGGAGTAGGAGACCTGTTTACGTAGGGTAGGGTAGTCTGGACACCCAGACGTAGGTCGAGCTCTTCGCCTCCCCGAGGACGGCCCGTCCGCTGCAGCCGGGCATCGCCGGCCACGGGCACGGGGACCCGGACCGCCGCGCGCGGGGGCGGGCGCAGGCACGGGGCGCGGTCTGACCTGGTGCAGTCATGTCTATGCATGTCTGGAGTGTTTGTTTTCTTCATGTTCGTTCTGATGTTTCTTGGTATCAAGGGGCGGGAAGTGTCGGGAGGTGTCTTCGAGGGAAGGGATCGAAGGGATAGATGTGCTGCATGAGACTGCATGAGACACACTTTTTCAGTGTCGGACTAGCGACATATTCTTAGTATCTCCTAGTATTGGTCACCAACGGTCTTTGACAGAGGTCCCAGGCTTGCGCAGTCGAGCCTGAACGCTGCGACTGTTGCCAGGTTGCAACAGCTTCAGATGCAGCAGCAGCAACAACAGCAGCAACAACAGCAACAACAGCAACAACAACAGCAACAAATGCTTGAGCAGTTGCATCAGCTGAAGCAACAGCAGCAGTTGCAACAGCAACAGCAGCAACAGCAACAGCAACAACAGCAACAGCAACAGCAGTTTCAACAGCAGCAGCAACAACAGCAGCAGCAACAGCAGCATTTGCAACAGCAGCAGCAACAGCAGCATATACAACAACAACACTTCCAACAGCAGCTCCAGCAGCAACAACTACAGCAGATTCACTCCCTGCAGCATGTGCCACAAGCAGCTGCTCCATCAATCTCGATGCAATCTCTTGGCACGGCGATTCCACCTAACCCCTTGATGCAGCAATCGACAGCTGCGCAGGGGACCCAGTTGTGCTTGGCATTGCCCCAACCCGGATACCACAAGCCTTGAGGTGTTTACTGTTTACGGTATAAGTTTAATGGGTCAGTGAAGATGGAATTTCCCACGGTAGTATCATAAGTTCAAATGGAATATAATTGGAGGGAGTGTACCAGTTAGCGAGTGTATGGTCACCAGCTTCAGCTTGGGTTTTCCCAGCTCCTAGGGTCCTCGGAAAGGATGCACAGGGGGCTGCATGAGAAGACATATCAAGTCAATGGGCCCATGGGCTGGCACATTGCAGCCTGAACTCACTCTACAGGATGCCAAGTTGCTTGCATCAATGACTATATTTTCACGTTGGGTCGGTCAGGGGTCTCACCAGTGACCGACTGACCGGTGGCTCTTCTCCAAACAAGACGCGTGTCTTCGGGTTTGGACGTGCGAGTTGCCTCAGTCAGCTTTGCAGAGATTCAGAGAGGCAAAGTTGATGTTGGTGCTCACAAACACACAACAAAAAGCCACAACCAAACGCCTCGCATTGATAAACATGCCCAAGTCCGGTTTGGGGTGCCAAATTGCCTGTAAACACGCGGGTTCCAGGGTCTTTTTGGTTTAAAGCCCCATCATGTCGATCATGTTGGCTTTCGTTTTGTTTCCCCACACCGAACCGTCTGAGACGTTTCCTTGTTCGTTGGTGGGGGACACACCGAGGTTTCCGCCACAGGCGCGGCGATGGGGGGATGGGTGAGGGGCTGGGACCGGCACACTCCGTCTTGGTGAGACACCAAAACATCCTCAGTGAGCTCCTCTGTCTCGGTGAGACATACTCTGTCTCGGTGAGCCCCTCTGTCTGTGTGATCTTCCAAGACCCATGGCCCATGGTGACATGGCTGTGGGTGGACGAACGGGCACGACCACGGGGGCACGACCTGCACCTGGTGGACTAGTCGTTCGTCGTTCGCGCGGGATGGTGGACGGGTCGGGCTCCAGGTTTCGATCAGGTCTCATTCGGGCTTCATCCCCATAAGTGGCCATCTCAGAATGACATTCCACTGTTCTGGTATGTTCCGGTCCTCTCTTGGTCAGGTAAGACTTCTTCCGAAAAATGTGTTGTTTTGCCGAGTCTTCGTCTGGGCCAGGCGGAGGATGGAGGTGCAGGGCTTAGCCGCCTTCGGGGAGGAAAGCTCTTTTTCGCCCATCGCAAGGGAATGATCTCAGCTGTTCTTCTCTTTTTCGATTTTTTTTTGATTTGTAAGGAACTTGCACTTTCGGCTTCCGTGACTTTGCATCTGACAGCGTGCATCCGGAAAACACCTATAGCGAGGCCCACCACTAAGTGAGTTACAGTACTGTGTGGATGAAGCTCATGTGAGAGGTGAGTGGCAAAATGTGGGGCATTTGTCCCGCTGGGTTCAAGGAGCACATGTCATATCTTATTTCCTTTTCAAGAAACATCACGACACACACTTTGGAAACCATTTCCGAGTTTCTTTTTTACAGTTATTTTTTCTGAAACTGCCTGCCACAGTGGCGAGAGTGCCCTTATCCTCAAATCGCCTGGACCCTGCGGAGAAAGCATCCTTCCCATGCCGGGTCTTCTTCGCGGTTCTTCGTTCCGGAACGCCCTCGTCACCATGAACCCGTGCCCGAAACGTCCGTGTGCAGCAGTTCTCATTCGACCGTTGGGTCATTTCGAGACCTATCAGCACAGGCCAGTGGCCAATACTCCAATCAGGTCACCAATACTCAGCCTGGACCAGGGTGATGGTCACCAGCGAACCCGAATCGACGTTCGAAGCGTCTTGTTCCGACCTGTCAGCGAGGTCGAGACCGCGGTGCTGTGCTGGGGTCTGTGTGCGGGGCTCGTGTGCAGCTGGGGGATGGAAACACTCGGTCGCAGTCGGTGGGAGGGATCGAATTCCAGAGGTGAATAGTACTTCTCCACACTTCTCCACACTTCTCAGAGATCTTGCAACCCAGTGTTCGTCAGAGATCCCAACCCGCCGGTCATCGTTGGAAATTCGAACTAGGAGGCCCTGTCGAAGTCATCAGAGGAGAAATCGAAATCCAGCTGGCCGCCTCCTTGGAAAGAGACCAAAGGCGTTGCTGGTCTATGCTCCTCCTAACTACTGCTCACAACCACGGGGAATGGGTCTCACCGTGCTTTTGCCATTGGAGCCGATCTAAAGGAAGACATATAAAGGCATCAATGACGTAGTCACGTGCCGGTTTGTTCGCAGGCAAATCGTGGAATGTCAGGGTAAGACCATCCACTGGGAATCTCAAAGTCATTTTTGGGAATCTGGCGAATAGGGTAATGCATTATTAGCTAGTAGCTTCTTGTGTAGTATGGCCAGGAGCCACGTTCGTAGCTTCTTGCTCTGTTCGTAGCGTTGCCCCACATGTTCCGGTCGTCACTTTCGCTCGAACACCCCACGGACGCGAAGCACCGGCGAAACCGGGGCTCGACCGACCGTACCGCGATCCGACCGGCGACCGGCGACCGGCGACCGCGCTACGGCGGAGGTCAGCGCAGAACCTGTCTGGATCCTTATCTCTCGAGGAGGCGGGACACGTCGACGACGTTGGACCCCCGAAACGGACGGACACCGGTCGACGCGGAGACGAGTCGTAGGAGGAAGCGAGTCGTTGAAGGCGAAGAGAGGAAAGGGGGATCAGGAGCCCAAGAGATGAGGAACCGAGAGAGGAGCCCAGCCAGTTAAGGATTTGATGTCCGTGTTTTTTGTTTGTTCTGAGATGTGAAGATGATCTCGGATTTCCTATATTATGACATGGGGTGTCTATGGGGTGTCTCAAGTCCACGACGTTTTTCGTGGCGGTTGAGTGGGGCTTTGCCTCGGTTGAGTGGCGACGGCCGATGTTCGTTCGTGGACTGCGTGCTCGCCACGGTGGGGTGTGGAAAACGGGACGAAGCAACACCCAAAGAACGTTCACCTTTCAGCTGAGCTCTCAATCCCTGGAGCTTTGTTTTTGGATGTTTGGTTGGGTGCGAAAAGTGCTTGTAGCAATTCGTCCGCTTCTTCTTCCGCGTCTTCCGCCTTCTTCATCGTGTCCTTCAAACAATCGCAGAGATCTGCCCCGTTGCGACCGTGGCAGGTGGTGCGCAACGTGGCCAAGGAGACCGCCGAGGCGATGATCTCCCAGGAGTTGGCGAAGCACAAGGACCCCAGGCGCGGGAAATGGGGTAGTCGGTGGGGATGATGTCGGTAGACTGTCGGTGGACACAAGGAGGGAGACAAAGACATCAGACATCAAGAATCTATGAAGAAAGCACCAGGCGTTTTTTCTAGTTCTATTAAAAAGGTGTTTGGATGTATTTGGTCCATTTGTTCGGTCCTTATGAAAGAGGAAAAGAGGTCCATTTGTTCATGTACGGTGTGGGCGCCCTCGAGCGGCCGCGGACAGAGTCTTTGGCGAGCGCAAGAGGAACGTGTGGGAGGTATTCTCGGTATTCTGTGAGGAGCATAATAAGATTGATCCGTTTGCTGGAGCATCGACTTGCCAGGAGTTCCGGGTGACTTGTACTCCTTAAGTGAGTGGATACTGGGCATCCCTATCCTCCACCAAGTACCCCTCTCCTCCACTGCTGGTGGGTTTGCTTCCTCGCATTTTTCAGGGTATTGAGGTCTTTGACCTGCCCATCACTACTGGCAGGCCTACTCTAGTTCTTTTGTTCCTGGTGGGAGAGCGCGTCTTGTTTCCCCCGATCTTCACCCCACGGCCCCAGGGTTCAAAGGGGCCCGTTCTTCCCAAGGATCGCTTTTGAGAAAGGCGAGGAGAGCTGGGGAGGAGGGCTGGGAGTCGGTCTAACAAAGGAAGTCCTGTTGTAGCCTTTGCATTTGAGCAAGGGCCCCAAAGTCAACATAAACACAGCACAGGAACGGACGAGCAAAGGAACGCACCACTCCACAGGCTTTGTGGTGATTTGTTGGTGGGTGTTTGTGTTTTGCTTTGCAAACGATGGTGGCACCTTTGGATTCGAGATGCTTGTTTGTTCGCACGCTTTGACAAGGGCCCAGATGGAAACCGAGGATCCAAAAGAGGTGCCGTCTCGTTCAGACGCCCTGCCATGGTTGGCCTCGAACAAGATGCAAGCGGATGAGGGATTGGCCACACAAGTGGGGATGAAAAAGATTGAAAAAGAATCATCAATCCATCATGTAATGTTCATGCAATGATGTATAGACTCTTGACTAATACTCATAAACCCGCCCCATGCACGAACTGCACGGACCCGCTGTCACGTTTTGTGACGGGTACAGGCGGGTTTGGCATGTACACGGTGGGACACAGGCACAGGACAAGAGCCACAGTGCAAAATGATTCATAAGCCATTGGTGATTTTCATCAGTGGTCGGAGTTGACGAAAGAGTAGCCTTTGGCTGAAGTCCACCAGTCGAGGTTCTGCTTCTGTACGTCAAGTCTGCACTGGAGCACTAAGGAAGAATGACTAGAAGCCATTCGAGAAGACTAATCACAACAAAGCCCTCCATTCCTATTTCCAGATCGCACGGCAAGTACTCCCTGTACTCCGTCTGTCAAGTTCCATGCGGAAGGTTGCAGCAGGTGTATGAACTGTGAAGAGGTGAAACATGGCGCTGCAAGATCCCGTCGACTGTCGACTGCCCATGTGGTCGACCAGTCCTCCACAAAATGGATGGTGTTCTCCGAGTGGAACATTGGACCATGTGTGCGCTCCCAGGCCATGGCGGTGCTCGAATCCGCGTCTGTAACACCACGACCACGACAGCCACGTGGCTACACCATTTGGATTGAACAACTTCTTCACAAATGGGGGGTTTATTTATCCAGACTCCACTGAAAATCACGATTTGGCAGCCAGGACCCAGTGAACTGCACAACTGCAGGTCACGAGATAAGTCGATCAACCCACCAGCCCGGTCCCCGGTTTCAGGCAAGGACGAGGAGCGACCGGTGCGCACTAGCGAGCGCGCGCGCGAAGGTGGCGGACGAGACGGAGGTTTTTCGTTGGCGCAGTGAGAAAAGACGAAGCGAGTGAAGAAGACGGTTTGTGCCAAGTGGCGTAGATAAAGAACCATATACTGTACTTGTTTGGGTTCCACGGTGCTACAATATAGACATGTTCAGAGAGGTCAGGCGAGCTTCAACGATTAGTGTTTTCTATTTGTAGTTTTCCATGTTTTGTGCAGGTGCCCCCAACCGCCAAAGCAGTGCTTTCATCGACGTTCGGTCCGAACGACGGTTCATGCACCGGGCTGTGGATGGGACTCGCCAAAGGCTCCTGTGAGCCCCTTCAGACCCGGTCTTTCGGCAGCGCCTTGGTGGTGGACACCCTCATTCCACATTCCGCGCATACCTGCACCCCAGCGTACTCCGAGGGTATAGAACACACATACATCCCTGGGAGTCAAAGACAAAAAGAAGGGTTTTTCGGTGACCCGAAAAGGAGTTCCTTTACTTCAGTCAGTAAAAGTTGGTGATTGACATTTGGACTTCTAGAGCATACATTATGTATACGATATATCCACAAAGTCAGCCACGGCCACGAGGACTCGAACCAGCGCCTGCCCTCAGAGGCGCGGCGATGTTCTGCTCCTGCTTTTGAGCTTCAGTGCCTTCCAGAAAAGGGGAACGCATCGCGATCCATCGCGCTTCCCTGTTCGTCATTCATCGATAGGTGCGACATCCCAATAGCAGGCAACCCTCAGTCCGATAGGTGATGTTTGGGGTTCCCTTTCAGTCAGTCGATCCATTGCCGCCGTCGAACTGGCCGCCCAAGACGTCGGTGCGTGTCGTTTGGGCGGCTGCCGATCCGACGTGTCCCTTGTGATTCGGACCACATGCCGAAGGAGGGAAGGAGGGATAGGGTACGTCCAGATCCAGTTGTGGTACTTCAAACGTATTCTTGTTGGAATGGAAGCAACATCTCATGTAAAAAAACACCGTACCAGTTTCTAAGGGAGGTGGTTCTTGACTCCGCATGCCGCGTCTCAGCCCCAAGCTGACCAGAACTTCCAGACACTTTGCAGCCAGCCATTCGTCGCCTGAAAATTTTTCAAGCCAGCCATTCCACATGAGAAGACAAACTTAAAAACCAGTGTGTGTGTGAGTGTGTTCTTAAGTAAAAACGTATGTATCTATGAGTTATCTATGTTGTGATTTGCATGATTCTACTCGGCTGGCCCGTATGATCAGACCGATTCTTACTCCCGGCCCAGGCGGTGCTGTTGCTCCAAGGCGCGGGTGATCCGTGGTGTTGATCAATAGATCTGGCCTACCTGCCATGTCCCTCGAACCCCAACACCCTAGGCTTAGCTTGCAGTTTTATGAATCAAGAGTGAACAGTCAAACAATGCCATACAGCGAGGCTTTGTGTGGTTTCGTCCTTTCTTTCTTTTAAACACTTGTGATGTCAGCTCCAATTGAATTGGTCTAGAGTCTAGACCAGGACGTGGACTCGAACCTCCATTTGTCCTGACATCGCAGAGCAGTGGTCCTCTAGTATCGGCATGTCTCGGCCAATGAGACTCGGCGAGCAGAATTTCCGCCCCCCTTTAGGCGTGTTGGCGTATGTTGTTTCTTCAGTTGACGTGGATGGCACGCCCAACTTTAAAGTCTAAACTACACTTCGAAGTGGTGTTTATATTTGTACGTATGCATCTCGCTGGCTCCAATGAAGCAATCTTTGTGTTCACGAAGTGCGCAGAACGTAGATACACAGACCCTGTTCAAGCGCACAGATGTTTGGGCACCGAAGAACGAATGCGCCGCCTGGCCGAGCGAAGTGCGCATCGCTTGGCCTCGGCAGGTTCATCTGAGCTTGCAAACGAGGAGCGTGGGATGGCAGCCATCACGAAGAGGGCCATAGGGAAGCGGTTCCCCGAAACCCGGTGATCTTCGTTATCTTGACCTTTCCGTCATTTCCGTCATGTTCTGTATCTTGCGCAGCCCAGCGCCGAACGCATGCGTAAGAGAAGACTGTAAGACGCAGCCAGTCGCTCGTCCGAGGTGCACTGCGGAGGGTCTGGGCGCTACCAAACGGCTCCTTTGGAGTGATAACATAGGTGTTCAGATCACCCCCCCCAATGCTGCCATGCTGTATCTGAGCAGGGCGAAGCGAAACCACCCGCCAGAAGCATGACGTGAGCTTGTGAATGGTTGGGGAATGTTGGGGATGGACGCGTGGAAACTCATCTCCAAGACCGTGTGACAGGTATATCACGGCTGATGACCCATAAGCCACATGAGCGATTGCTTGAGTTGGTTTGCCCCGTCATTTTGACCGCATACGTTTTCCGGGAACGCGGCCCCAGAATGGTCACGAAACTTCAAATTCTTCCTCATCCTTTTTATTTAATATTTGTTTCCCCCTACTAGCGATGGCCTCCCCCACTAGCGATAACCTCCAACCTAAGAGCCCTCATCAGGCCGCTTTATTGATGATCCTCAGATCGTCAGACACTCCGCCCGATGTTTTGAGGGTCAACCGCGAACATCTTGGAGTCTTTCGGATTCCGCGAACATCTCACTGTTCACACGAACCAACTGTCACCCGACTGTCGGAGAGTCCAGGAGGATATGCTCCTGCTGAAAGAGGCCAGCTGGAACACGGGTGATTGAATGAGAATGATGAAACAATGAGACATGTAATCCACTATCAGAGTGGGAACACATGAGTAGATGGTCCATATATGGTCCATTTTGTTACCATCGCGGTTGATGGCGTCGTTCCACAAGAGCCAGCTTACAGACTACATCATACTGAATCATACTATATATATATATACCAAAAATTGTTTCAACTCTGTCACTGTCTGTCGCGCAATCCAGCGTCTTGGGACCAAAATATGGATGAATTGTGTTTGTCGGACGTGTTGTTTTCTTTTTTGCGCCTTCAATTCTTACCTTTGCCATCTTGTATGCCTTCGGAGCTTCCGACTCTCTAAATATGTTACATACCTGGATCTTCCAACTATGACAAATTTAATGATGCCTTTTCATCCATAAAAACCAGCCAACAGGCAGACATTTGGCATAGTTGGAAGATTCGCCACAAGGATTGAGGGCGACTTCAATGAGGGCAGTCTTGAACATTCGCCACCCACAGCTAACGCCTAACGCGGAAACCGCTGGCCGGGTGTGGGGCGCACCATGGGTCGTTTCTGAATGCAGACAAGGCGTTTGAGGCCAACCCACTTGACGCCAAGTGGATGACAGCAAGACAATGGGCTACTTGTGCTTGCTGGCGCCCCGGTACAGGGGCAGGTCCGGAACTTTGTCCTGTGATGAGTGCAAGGGGAGGCCAATTGTTACTGTATAAAATGTGTAAATGAGTTGATCAGATGGGATGGATGTCTCCGTAGAGTAGTAGAGTAGTAGTACCGGTCTGGATCAGGCCGAGTCCGCCCAGAGGTGTTGGTGATGCCGGCGGCCCTTGATTTTGCGGCGTCTCGATCGAGACAACTCTCGTGGTTGGCTCCTTGTTCAGGCGGCGTCCGCGATCGTGCAGCTCTTGATTGAGGAGGAGCGGCAACAAAAAGGGTTTTCCAGGAATCCTCGTCTGTTGGGAACTCATTTGGAACATGTGGTTGGGAACTGACCTGCCTGTTAGAGATCGTTAGAGGTGAACATGCCCTCCGGTTCATGGTCACATGTCAAAGATCAGCTCCAGCGCCATCAGCTTCAGCTTTTGAGATCTTTGAGACAAACCAACTTGTGAAAAGAAACTTCGTTGTTGGACCGAGCCAAGATGCCCCCAAGCTTGGAGGATGGACCCTTCCGCTGGCTTGGGGTGGAAGGAGTAGAGGAAGTTGCACCCCTGAACCGAACTCATGGCGCAACTGAACTCAGGGCGGACTTGCCAAGGGAGCAGTCAGATGAAGGTCGCATCAGACATGCGTGAGGCATGACGCATGATTGTTTGAACGTATGATGCTTTTTTTCAGGAATCCAAGACATCCCAATGAGTTCTTTACTCAAGGGGTGCTGCAGAAGCATGCAGAAGCTCCTTTGGTGGTCACACTCGTTCTCAAACTCCCATCTGGTCGCTTTCGCCGAAAAGCAGCTCTTCCGTGTCGAGCCGTGCTCAGTGGGGCTCAGTCAGGAGAGGATTGAAGCTTCAAGCACTGATTTGCCGACCTGGTCTTGTATGAGGCACTGGCCGTCCGAGGGGCGTGCTTCAGGGTGTGGGGGTCGGTCCAGGTGCGGTTCCATGCGCCGCGCTCACCGGGGGGGGGGGAACCAGGGGAACGTGGCCATTTTCTGCCCATGAGCAGCTTGATCTAAGAATGTAAGAGGGACTAAGACTGCACTCAAGAGGTGTCCTGGAAATCAAAGAATCCTACCTGTCCAACTTGCCCCAAAAAGCCCTCAGTCGAAGACACATTCTGATATGATCCATGGATGTCAGTCTCTGAGCGAGGTCATTTGCTTGATTCCAGGCAGATGTCTGCATTGGACCGGCGATCCCGGTTCGCTCGGGTCCGAACCATGTAGTTTGGGGTAATGTTTTGAGACACTGAGAAGAAGGGGTCCAGAACTTTTGGGTGCTTTATTGCTTTGTATCGTCTATCAGTATGAATTATAGATTGAGCAGCATTCAGACATGTGAATCCCTGGATTTTGTGGATAGAAGAGGTGTTGGACACGGTGAAACCATCGACTTGCGGAGGGCTAAATCTGGACAGACAAACAAGGACTGAACACTGAGGCGGGGGCAAACATGAGCAATTTGTTTTGGACATGATGACATTTTGTACGGAGCACTATGGTGATCCACAGCACCTTGGACAGTTTTTTGAGGCATGTCGGGGTGAAAAGTGAAAACCGGGAATAAAGAGGAATGTACATGTACCCCAAGCATCATAGGACCCTCCTATGAAGGGTTTTGACCCTGCTCTTCGCAAGGGTTTGGACCCTGCTCCAACCCTCATGATTCTGAGGATACCATGATTCTTTTGGGTACCACCAATTCCATCGTTCGTTCCCACAAACCTCCGTTGGGGGCATCAGATTCTCGACCGCCGCTCAGGTGGGCGACGCTGACCATGCGCTTGCTCGCTGACAGGTTCCGCGTCGGCGGGTTCCGAGCCGCGAGTCACCAGTGCTCCAAGCAGTGACGCCCTAGAAGTCGGGGCCCACCATTTTTCTTTAATATATAGCCTGTTCTTTCTGGTCCCAACTATTGTTTTACTTGAGGATTTTACACAAAGCCAGATGAACCATTTTAGACATGGTCTTGGACTTCTAGGGTGACTGTGTATGACTGTATGTGTTTTTGCGGCAAAAGCCCACATTCTGTGGAAGAGGTTTCCCGTTAAGGAAGCGGTTCCACCGAGGGGTGGCGGCGCACGATCCGGATGCGAGCGTGTGTTCGTTCGAGACGGACGGTTCTTCGTGATCTCAGCCTTTCTTTCGGAAGAGCCGTTATGTTCAGTTCGAGCATTGTTGTTGAACCTCTTGGCACCCAGATTCGGCGTATACGATGCAAACGAGTGGCGCAACGCCCGCGTGGGCGCTGCGTCGCGTGGTGGTCGTGGTCCACTGCCGTTTCACCCGTCTTCCCCCCCCGATGGTCCGAGCTGCTGCCGTGCCTCGGTTTTGGCCGATCCACACGAACTGCTCGATCGAGCGCGTCGGGTTGCTTCGGCTTGCTTCGGGTGGGTGGCCGAGCGCCGAGCGCGCGGGGGCCAGGCACCAACGTGCGTTGCGCGAGGGCAAGTGTTTGCTGTCGATCAGCAGCAAAGTGCCACTCGGACAGGGCGAACCGCCCGTCGGTTCCCATGCTTTGCGCTGTGATGGGCTTTTGGGGAGTGGGTATGGGCTGTTGCGTGAGTGGCAAAGCTATGTTGCATATCCCCAGCCTTCTAGTATTTCCAGACCGAAAATGTTTGATCTGTTTTTGTAGGGAAAAATCCTTAGCAACACAATGGCTGTTTGGTAAAGCTAATTATTAAACGAATGGTGGTTGGAATCCTAGGGTATACATGAAGCATCATGAAGCATTTTGCTTCTATGGTGGGCGACCCTCTTCGGTTCCTGTGAGAGAACGGATACCATGCCAATCTCCCAGTCCGTGCACAAAAACCGCAGACGCAGCGGACTGGGTAGTGGCGATGTGGCGATGCACAGCCCCTGGTTGCAGCAAGGAACAGAAAGAAACCGGTACCACCGACCCACAAGGAAGTCCACGGAATCGGGAAGATGAGGATGTATGAGTCCACGGAATCTCCTGAGCCAAAAAGAGTGGTGCATCCAACTGTCTACCCTCATGATGTGTCAAGAGTCGCCAGATCACCTTCGTTCCCATGAAGCGAGAGCAACCGACGGTCGGCTCCGCCTCATGTTATGTTCCTGCTTCTTCTCTGTTCCTACACCCTGAGTGACCTCTATTTACCGACCTCCCCAAATGTCCCCACAAATGGTCCTTTCCCCACCAAACGATGAAAAACAACAGGAGTCATGTCTGAGCTCTTAGGTGAAGTGACTTGTGTCTTTTTCTGTCGCATTTTCTTGAGTCTGTCATGATGTCTTCACTTGGGCGTTGATGTTTTGTTTCTTCCTGCATTTTCCTGCATTTTCACGAAGGTCTTTAACCCTGGCGGAGGCCGGATGCCGGATTGGCGGGGTCACTGATCCTTCGGATTGAATATGATCAATCAAGACCTAAGATCTGATCTATGGTCTGATCCAGATTGTTCTCAATCAACAAAGGTCCGAAATGTCCCAAGGATTTCGGAGGACGTCCTTAGGTCAAATCCCCCAAGGGCGGTCTATTGCGTTGGATTCACGGAGGCTTCAGGTAGCTTCAGCTTCACGAACTTGTGCTCGTTGTAGTTCTCGGTACGCGCCTCCTCTGCAGGAGCAGCTGGCCGAATATCTCTTTATCAAAAGTCCTCAATGGGCTGGAGACCTCGGATTTTGCGACCCACCCTTGGCGGGGAAGCGGCAGGGAAGCGGGGAAGAGTTCTTTTGGCCGAGCAGGAAAGCCAGACAAGGACTCCACCCCATACACAAGAAGATCCCCCCTTAACATTTCCCCTAGTAGATGGTTCAACCCAAGTCCTGTAGAAAAGGTTCATTTTCTAGTAACATATGGCCTAGTAAATCGGTAGAGCCCCACTGTTTTCCCTCATACGGCATTTTGAATGGATGATATCATCATGTGTTTTTCTAACCTTACCAATTCCTAGAGGACATTCTATAGCTGTCTTATAGTATGCTTGAACATCATGGGAGATGAGAATAGGTAAGAGAGCACCCCACAATAAGCCTAATAAGCTATTGGGTTAGAGGCCATCGCTAGTAGGTTGGTGGCCATCGCTAAGGTTGGAGGCCGTCGCTTGCCTTGAACCGCGGTGCTTTTCCACGTCACCGCTGGCTGAGGCGGCCGAGTTTCCCGAACTGAAGCAAACCTGTTGTCAGCTTTTGGTGGCCCGCCTGCCGGGAAGCCTGGAAAGGTGCCACATCATCCCTCTCGGCATCCATGAGAATTCCGTGGAAGAGATGGTGCATCGATAGAGCGAAGTACGAAGAATGTATATAGACAGGATCAAAGAGCTTTGAAGCTAAAGCCCAACAGAAAATTGTTCATGGATTTCGGTGCTTTCTTTGAGCAGGGAAAACATCGACCAGAGCTGGCTTTCTTCCAAACAGCATTTCTTCCAACTGCAGCTCAGCACCGTTTTGGGTGTTACCGGGCCCACTGGCCTTTGGTTGCCTTCTTTCGCACGCAACGAAAACGTGCACCCAGCCGAGGCAAGCAGTGCCGCTGAGCATGGGCAGGCGGAGCCGGGGAGTCGGGCGAAGGGTCGGAGTCAAAGGAGGAGGACGATGTTCGACACGATGAGATGAGGTCTTTTTGGTGATGTTCTTTTTGTGTCGAGATGAGATGAGATGAGATGAGATGAGAGTCGGGTATCTTTTCCGTTACATCTTTATCTTTTTGTGGTGTGATGAAAGCAGGTTCTTTCTTTCGTGCGTTCGACCTCCCCATCCCACTCGTTCTTCGATGTGTGAGGTTGCAGAAGCGCAGCCCAGGCAGGGAATCGTGTTCTGTTCTTTTTTGTTTTCGGGTTGTCGACTTGAAGGACTCCCCCATCGACCACTCTAGATGAAATGAGCGGCTTCAGCTGAAGCAAGAAGCTGGCCCTGCAAGGTGGCCACAGGGAAAGGCCCCGGTCGAATGACCACAGGCTTCTGGTCGCTTGGTTGCTGACTTTGACATCTTCGCTTCACGTGCACTTTCCCAATCCGAAGCCCTCGCGGGTCGAACCGCCCAATCCGTCCGCGGCGGCGGGAAGCCCCGTGTGGAGGCGAGCCTCTGTGGCACGGGCTGAGCGCCAGCAGGTGCGGGGGGTGGAGGGGAGGATCTTTCAAAGAAGAGGTGCCCTGAAAATTTTTGGTTCCCAAAATTCAGGTGAGCAGTGTTGCTTTTCGAAAGACCCATAAGAGTAGCTGTAAGGCCCCTCATAGGGATGGAATATGGCCCTAATTGGTAGAATCCTTTCGAGCGATTCTTGTGTGGTGGTCTAGCCAGATGCGTGAGAAAACCTGATCTGACAACCAGCACATGAAGAAAGCAGAAAAAGAACTCACGGCTATGCATCAAAACCTGGGCACCCTGGCTGACCCGATGTACAGATTATGACAAATTCCTCTGTTATTGGGGTGTCAACCTACCATGGTTTGGTGTGGCAGGTGCCATGACTTAGGTAAATGCAGTGAGCGAACGTCCATGTCGCCCCCCTCTACCACGGATCCTGGCTGGGTCCACACGACGGTGACCGGTGCGGTTGACTCGGGCTCGGTCCGCTAAAGCTGGGTGTTTCGGTACAGTTCTGAACAGTTTTGGAGGACGAGTCTTTGTCCGGTCTTAAAAGTTTCGCAGGACTCGTTCCGGTCTTAACGAATTTCAAGACGTGAAGTGCAAGTTCAACGATCCGGAAAACATGTCCCAAGTTCAAACGAACAGGCCCAGTACTCCGTATTACGGCGCCCTGGAGAAGTTGGAGCACTTCTTTGGCATCTCCGCCATTCATGATTCTGTTCAACTAGTAGTTTATCCAAAGACTATGAACGTGTATGATCCAAAATCAAACCTCTCTGTGCAAGGATACAACCGCAACCACCCAATCCACCGCGTAGCATCAAGAGCGTTTGCAAATGACGTCAACAGAACCCCACCCCACCCCACCGCACCCCATCCACCGCGTAGCATCAAGATCCTTTGCAAGTACGAGTGACGTCAACACCACGAAAGCCAAACACATGCATAAAACGCATGGCCTCTTAGGGGTGCTGCCACCAAAAACTTGGCTTCTTGTCAGACTTCCGGTCCCGGTCGCCACAGACTCCGGTTCCGGTCACCCCCGGGGGTAAACCGCTTTTCAGACGGTGACGACTAGAACCCCAATTGGATGATTGACTCAGAGTGAAACCGCTTTTTGAGTACCGTTCTCCTTCCGAGTTTCCGAGGATTCTCCTCGCAGCGTCCTCGCCCAGGCGGAGCCGAGTGGTGACCAGTGACATGTACTCTTCACGCAAAAACCCCGAGGCCGAGCTGTTTTTTTGTGCGACGCGTTTGTTCTGATGGGGTTGCTTTGTGCTGGTTTTGAATGGCCTAAAAAGTGAGTGTGTGAAGAAAAACTGGCTGCTCTCTGAAATGAAGAACGTTACTTTTTAGAGAAAGTCCCAACTCTGTGGGGTCCGCTTGCCATGAAGATTCATTCTGTGGATCCGCTTCTCGCCGCCTCTCTTTTTGCTGGTATGTGGTTTCATTCCAACCACAACCATCTTCGACCTCCAGTCTATTGAAGGAAACATCCTGCCACCCACGTCGTGCGAAATTTCAATCCCTGTGACCAAAGCCGCATGTCACATGCCCGTTCTTCTTTTTTTGGGGGGGAGGGTTTAAAAGACATTCAAAAGATGTTAAAAACTCCTTGTTCCTTGGCATTTCTTCCCAACTCGCCACCCAACCCCACCCTAGCTGGTATACCTGGTATACCATCCACTTCACTCACTCCTTGGATCCTGGTGGCCCTGGGTGGCGGCTCAGGCGAGCCTCGATTTGCGAGGGCGGCCCTTTCGGACCATGGGCGAGCTCCCGGCCCTCGACGCGTGGGACGCCCGTGGCGTGGCGGCGCTCTTCACGCACTCGGCGGACGCGTTGCCGCCACCGCCGGGCTTCAGCTCCGAGAGCGAAGAGGACTCGGCGCTTTGGAGTGGTTTGGGCACGGCAGGGTGCTGGTTTTGGGGGGTGTTTGTTGTTACATGTATTTTGTTGTCTTGTGCTTCAATCATTCTAGCCAGCTGTTCTGACTGCGTCTCTTGTGCATGTGTACATGTATTTGTGCCGCCGCTGCCGTTACTGCTCAAGAGACCCAAAACGGCTTCAGGTCAAACTTTTTCCTGGAGTTGCCAGGGTCCTTTTTGGCCAATGTCAGTGCAGAGTTGGAGGGACGAGCGTGGTCTGCAGGCCGATGCAGACTTCGCTTTCTACTTCCTGGACTTTGCCGAGGCTGTTGGGGAGGGTGGATTGGAGGTGGCCCGCTCCTGGCTTGCGTGTTGAGCCAGTGTCGGTGAGGGGTCAAGCGGTGACGTCCGAGTTGTCACTGGTACCCACGCTGGGAGAGAGACACCTTCGCTGAAGGCGTTGGGCTTGCCGGCGGTGCGCCCGTCGAGTGCTCCTGTCTTCCATCCTCCCCGCGAGTTGCGCGGCTCCCGCAAAAGCGGCCGGTGCCTGCTAGCACTCCCTTGCCCACCAGGAACGCGAGTTCAAGGACCATCTTCTTTCAGGCAAGTGTCTACAAGGACGACCGACTGTGGAGCCGTTGGTGAACAAGATTTTGGCCTCCCATGAACCTGACGCACTCAAGCGGGTTCAGTCTACATGGCATGACCTCGTGACGTGGTGCAATGCGGAGGCCTTGGATGTCTCCTGCCTCTCCCCCATGGATTTTGCCAGGATGGTGGATGCTTAGCAGCCGTAGCAGCGCCTTCATGGGTGCTACAGGCACTTCAACTCATCGAATCTTCACCTGCCTGGAGACCTTTGGCCACGGTGCCAAGCAAGCTGTCGCACGAATGGGCCGCTGCCCATCGTGCTTAGCTGCCGCCTTTGGTCCCTTTAGAGTTGACCGTTGACCCGGGCCAGCGCTTCGGATACAGTACGCCCTTGGACTGGCCCCGTCCCGGACTTTGATCTTCAGTTCGCTGCTAGTGCTATGGCCCATGGCTGCTGGCCCTTCTCACGTTGCGGTTGATCGTGCCCTGGCTTTGGGCTTGTTTGAGGAGGTATCCTCCAGGCTTGAGCCAGTGTCAGTTCCTTCGGCTCCAGCAGCGCCCACATGTCACTAGGGTCAAACCCCCAGTCCATCTTTCTCGTGGCCTGACTTCGTTTGCTGACGGCCCTTTCTCAGGTTTTCCACCCCTGCGGTCTTTGGGCTCCTAAGTCTGCAGAGTTTCACACCTCCATCCTTCTCCCAACGTTCAAGTCGCACTTGAAGCAGGGTGCACGGATGAGTCGCTCGGCTTTTTGTTCCCCCAAGTTTGGTCGGGACTGGCGTGACCTTTCGCGTCGTTGCATTCTTCTAGTACGTTGGGATTTAGTGCCTTGGGAGTTGAGAGTTTCTTTTTACTGCCGGTGCAGGAGTTGACCCTCTAGTGAACCTAGGTGTACTTGCCAACGTAAATCGGAAGAGTGCTTCTGATGCAGATGAAAGAGCTAAGGTACCACAGCTCCCTGCTTTGTGCTGCGAAGAAAAGAAGGGAGCCGACTGATCGATAGCTGTGTTGAATGTTATATTGTCTTGTGCTTGTAGAGCAGGCAGGAGAGGTGCAATTGTAGCCAGCTGTTCATTGCTGCTCAAGAGACCCAAAACGGCTTCAGGTCAAACTTTTTCCCCCACCCACCCTTCCCTTGAAACAGTTTGTGCTCCGCCTGGGTAACAGTATAGGCGCTTGGTGCCCGCCGGTGGCTGTTGCCACCCTTGGATAGAATCAGTTGGTTACTTTTTTCCACCCTCCGGAGTTGAGAGTTTCTCTTCACTGCCGGTGCAGGAGTTCACCCCCTAGTGAACCAGGTGTACTTACCAACGTAAATCGGAAGAGTTCTTCTGCTGCAGATGAAAGAGCTAAGGTACCACAGCTCCCTGCTTTCTGCTTCCAAAAAAAGGAGCCGACTGATCGACAACTGTGTTGAATGTATATATATATATAGTTAATTATTTATGTGACTTATAGTTTTCTTTTTTTCAAAGTGGGCAGTGTTTTTGCGGGGTGGACGTCTTTGGTTGCTGTCACTGGGACAGTGGCCCTTGATATCTTGCGTTTCAGAAGGGGGAGTGCAAAAGGCCTAAGGGCCTAAGGTTTTTTTTGTTGCTTTTGAAGAACAGAATCTTTGTTCGGACGGGAAGGACCTGTCAGGACCAAATTGGACCATGACTTTGGACCTTCGAATGGTGAAACTGCTCAACCGGTTTCTGGGTGGTTTGGAACCTTTTATTGTCAATGGTTTCTGGACATAGACGATCGCCGTCCTCGTTTCGGCAGAGACGAGCACCGTCCTCGCCTGGGGGTGTCCCTCCACCAGTGGCCCATCCATTTGTCTCGCGACCGATTTAGGACGAGACCGACGAGGAGGACTGAGGTGAACCTGTGAGGTGAATCGAACTTTTCATTTTTTAAATAATAGCTTCGCAGGTTGGGCCATGTGTGAACCAACAATTCGCGCAAAAACTGTAGCCCCTCTGTGACTTCGCAAAAAAAAACTTAGTCGGATCTGAAGTCGAGTACCCAATCTGGGCGTTTCGTCTTGGTGCCCTGCCCAAAAGGGGCGGTGGCGGCGCCAGCTTTATGAGTGCAACGCTCTGCACAGCAGCTGCGGTCAGCAGGACTTGTAATACCTGCTGTGTGCGCCCACTTTGGGGAGCAAACTCAAAGAAGATCAGCAGCGTAGCACGAAGTAGCATGGGGTAGCTTTGACCGCCCCCTTCACACGCTTTCAGGACATTTGGCAGTGCAGGTGCAGGCTGTCAAATTGGAGCCCCTCCAGGTGTTTTTCACATTTGTTCATGGGCCAGTTCTTTTCGGTAAGCTTGTCGTTTGCCTTGAAGTGTTCGGGAAGAGAACCAAAGTGAACACCATGAAACCTGACAGATCTGGCTCAAGGCATCACCTGAAATAGGAGAATGCGCCACCTTCCATTCTTTCAGAAAGCACCCGTTGATCGTTGCATTGATCGTTCAAGAAAGCATTGGAAAGAAGGTGATACGCAAACAAAGGGTCGCCCGTAAGGGGTTTCACGTGGACAACAAGCTCCTTAAAGGACATGACCGAAGTCACCTCCCAACATATTTGTCGGCCATGGGGATCCATTAGGAATTGTGGGGTGCCAATGAAATGGAATAAGGTAAATGCTACTACTAGTTTTTTGTTCCTAGTAGCGATGCCAGGAGCCCCTAGTAGCGTCCTTGCTCCTAGTAGCGATGCCCTTTGCTCCCAGTAGCTTCTTGTTCCTAAAGAACATAGAGCATTTGCGAACCAGACCGCCATCAATCAAGCCCTTCATACGTAGCACTTCTACGCACGAAGCAACCCGGAACTTATCTTGGTAGCCTTGCAGCCAAGCACGATAGTACACAGCGGGACCGCTGTACTTGACAGCACCAGATTAGTAGTGACAGTATTGGTGTGAAATGACCACCCCCCCAAACAAGGTGATAAGTTGTCACTTTTTTGTCGGATCTCTTGAATTTTTAAAGGAAGGCCAGTCGAACGGAACGGGATTTTCCTAAAAAGACTGACCACCGTGCCCCCCGGCCCCGGCCCCCACGGCCGTGCCTCTTTTGAGGTGCGGTCAAGCGGTTTCGCCATGGAAGGGCTGGGGCGGGAGATGTCCAGCCGGCAACTGTTTGACATCCAGAGGGAGGCTGAAGCGATGCAGATGGTGTGGCTTCAGGCCGCTCCACGGGGCAGCGCAGCGGATTCACACGGCGCATCACGGGTGGCCCGGTGGTTGGCCATGTCGACAGCAGTCAGCGCCCAGAGGGTTGGAGGTCCCAAGAAGCATGTTTGGTGATACCGCACCGCCAGCAGTTATTTGAGGGGATGAGCAAGGAACACGAAGCTACTAGGGGCTCCTGGCATCGCTACTAGGAGCAAGGACGCTACTAGGGGCTCCTGTCCTTACT